GCAGCAACAGCAGCAGCAGCAGCAGCAGAAGCAGAAGCAGACGCAGCAAAAGCAGAAGCAGCAGATCGGGTCTTCTTTCTGTAGTAGCAATGCGTCGTATGTTGTAGTGTTAATATATATTTTATTTATTTATTTATTTATTTATTTATTCATTTTGATGTGTTTGTTTATTCTATTATATTTATTTGTATTTATGTATTGAATACATATACTTTAATATATTTATTATATATATTATATTTAATTATTTAATATATATTATATAATATATATAATTATATTATTTAATTATATATATTATATAATATATGTACATTTTAAGATATACTTATCTTTATTTGCATGCATGCATTTTACTATATTTGTTTGCATGCATTAATTTTATAGTAGTCAATTAAATATATTAATTTAAGTGTACGTCTTCTTGCACATCAATTGCGATGTATCTTCTACACTGCACTTCTTATAATGTTTTATATTATTATTATTATTAATATTTTTGTAGGTATTATTATTTCTATGACTACTATTATTATTATTATTACTGTTATTATTATTATAATTATTATTACTCGTAATATTGATGTTGTTATAATATTATATTTTAAACTCATTTCTCTAAGTCGGTCTATTGTTGTGTATTCTGTCTAGTGTATATATTATTTGTATTTCTTTTGCTTAATTAATTTAACTGCATTTTATTTATAGATTGTAATTAAATGCTGTAATTAATTAAAAATATTTTGTGTTTTCTTCGTACTTCGCCAAAAGAACCATAGCCGATGAGATTACCAATAACAAAGCGATTAGCTTTTTTAGTATTTTTATTGTTTATATAAAAACAATGTAATGCAAGAAGACGCCCTAATAAACGTCTTCTCTCTGCCTTCCCCTTAGCATCTGCTTCTGCTGCTGCTGCTGCTGCTGTTGCTCCTGGCTCCCTCTTAATGCTGCTCTTCAGTGCAGCGGCACCCATTGTCTTTTCTTTTTTATTAAAGAAGAACATCAAACTGAAGAAGAACTTGAACTGTTCAAAGTCAGAAGAAGAAGAAGAAGAAGAAGAAAAGAGAAAGAAAGAGATGAAGAGCGAGAACAGATGATACTCTATCAGCTAAATAAGAGAGTCTCTTTAGACAGATAGAACATGCAAGAAACTCTACGCATTCATCTTCATCAAACTTAGAAGGAAAAGAAATGATTAAACCAACAAATAAAAAAATGAAAACAACGAAGGCCCCTAATATCTCCCTATTTCTCTTTTCTTGTCCGTTTACATGGTGTACACACAGAAGGATACGAGAAAAAGATAAAAACTTGATGTTATTGAATCTCTCCTCTTTGTCTTTATAAGCACAAGAAGCTCTTCGCAAGCCAACAGCAGCAGCAACAACAGCAGCAGGAGCAGGAGAAGCAGCAGCAGGGTATACTGGGGATGAGCTTCATACAACTGATGATAACAGACAAAGAGAAGAAGAAAGAGAGAGAAGAATACTGCATGCATGCACTGCCGCTTAAAATTTTCAATATTTGTTTATATAGCGATGTGTATACCTTGCTTTTATTTTTTTAAGGGTTTTGTTCTCTTGGCTGCTTGTTGATTTGCTTGCTTGTTTTGTTTATTTCCTTTATGCATTTATTTATTCATTTATTTGTTTATATTCTGCTGCTGCTGCTTGGCTGTATGCACAGCTTGTGATAATTCAATCCGCGCCCGTACGGCACACGCTGGAGGGCGAAGCAGGGCCTCTAGAAGAAGAAAATAAGGAGAATACACATATAAATAACAAGGTAAGTATAAATATAAATATATATTTTCATATATTTGTTTATATTTGTTGCATGCACAGCAAGAAGAAGCATTTTTCTCTCTTACCCCGTCCGCTCGCCTACATCGATGTTTACCATGCAGCGAGAAGCAGAACACTGTGCATGCAAAAGCAGCATTTTGCAAGCCTAGAAAAGGGTTTATTTTACTTTTAAAATAATTATTCAAGTTATATTATGTGTGTAATTCAAAAAAAATTTAAAAATACTTGAGATCACCACAAAACAGCTGCATTAATAATCAAGGTCCACTCAAATCGCCGGCTTTCTGCAGTAACACCATCGAGAAAGAGAAGAATAATTTTTATTTTTTGAATTTAATATTTTAAATATTTGAAATAAAGTTAATACCCCTCTAATTTATTTTTAAAACATTATTTTAGCCCTTAAGTGCTGCTGAAAACAACGGCAATATGCCGATGATCAGCTACGCTCAACCCATCAAGCCCACGGAGGTTGAGAAAATTAACTACTTCATTAATTAATTAAATTGAAATATTAATTAAAACAATTATTTGATTTATTTTTCAGAAAAAAACACAGAAAATGAAGGACGTTTAACACCTGACGCCTCCGCTCCACTGGTCTCACAAGACACCTCAACGAAGAAATGCAAATAAACAAATATTAATTTAATCTATTTCTTCTTTTTACCAGAAAATCCCACATTTTTTGCTCTTTCTGGGTTTCTCACGTGTACAACAAGGCGTCTTCTTCCCTTAATATGCAGACGGACGGGAAGCAGCAGCACTCTTCTTATGCATTTATGTAGGTATATATATTATATATATACATATATATATATATATGTGTATACACATGTATGTTTACATATATACATCATACAGAATAAGTAGTATATATATATATATATATATACGTATATTATATATGTATGCACACATGCGCGAATACATACGTACAAGCACTATCTGTACTTTTTGGTGTTTTGTTTGTATCGTACAAAACCTGCAGTAATTAGATATGTAGATATTGCTGCCGATGCTCTTAACGCCTGTCTTCTTAATGCAATAATAAATATACTTTTTAAATTCATCTTAACAGAAACAAATGCTAACAAATACACAGAACTCTATAAACCTTAAACGAGCTAACTAAGCCCCGCATGCAGCCCTAAAGATCTTTCTTCTGCTTTGCATCTGCAAAATATCCTTTACTTATTCTGATGTTTGCTGTCTACTTACTCCCCTTCGAACAAACAAAACACGAAAAAGTTTAAACGTCTATGTGCTGATGCTCTCTGTCTCTTCATCAGGTGTATGTACACTTCAGCTGAGCTGCGGTGAAGACCGCATGTTTATTATTCTTGTCTTATATTTAAATTTTATTAAAACAACTAAAATACATCAAAAACAAAACCTTTAAAAAGATTTATTATTGCTGTGGTGTATGTCTGTCCTTATGCAGAATACACTGCATAAGGACAGACATACACCACAGCAATAATAAATCTTTTTAAAGGTTTTGTTGCTAGCTATGCAAAAATATAGATCCGATATATATATATATATTATATATGTTACATATATCCCTATATATATATATGCATGCAAATGCATGCATGCATATATAGGGAGACGGCAGCAACGCCTTCCTGCTGCGGGCTGTTTGTTTGTTGTTGCTGCTGGCAGTGGGGTTGTTGTAGTATATATATATATATATATATTTATTTATCTCAGTAATTGTAAGCATAAATACTAATAATAATAATTAATAATAACAATACTGATTAGTAATACTAATAATGCACATCACCACAAGAAGACAGCTAATAAGAAAGCAGACAAGAAGAATATTATTTTAAATTTATTGCTGAATTAAATGCGCGAAGCGGATGTAATAAGCTCCAGGCGATTGCGCACAAAGAACTTTGGTCTTTGAATTGTTGCTCCTGTCTTTTGTTTTACTTGAAAGAAAGAAGTTATGCGGCTTTGTTTACACTCGGGAACGTCGATCCCACCCTCCCCCTCCTCCTCCACCTCCTCGTACCTGTACACCCCACAACACCCCACACACGCAAACGCGAATTCACCTCCTGCTGCAACTCTTGCTGCACCTGCTGCTGCTCCTCCTCCTCCTGCTGCAGCAGCTGCAACAGCAGCAGCTGCAAAAAACAAGGAAGATAAAGGCATAGAAAAGATGCTTTCTATAGCAGACACAAACCCAAATTACAAGACAAACGCGCTGCAGCAGCAACAGCAGCAGCAGCAACAGCAGCATCAGCAGCAGCAGCAACAACAGCAGCAGCAACAGCAATACATCAGCAGCAACAACAGCAGCAGCAACAGCACCAGCACTAGCAGCAACAGCAATACATCAGCAGCAGCAACAGCAGCACCAGCACTAGCAGCAGCAACAGCAGCAACAACAGCAACAGCAGCAATAATGCTGATGAGTAGGTTGTACCAGTCTGTTGCTACCCCTTCCTTTTCAAACATTTCTTTTGCTGTCTGCCAACTCCATCGAACAATACTCGGAAAACCGAAGACTAAATCCATGTGCTGCTTCATAAAAGAAATAGTTAGGCTGTCTGCAGCAAACAAAAACATAAAAATATCTAATAATGTTTATTAACAGTATTTAGTATATATACGGGAGGAAACAATATAATATGCTGCTTCAATTTATGTAGTAATATATATCAATATTATTAATAAGATTAAATATATTAATATTATACAGCTAATAAACTATGCAGTTAGTATTAATTTAATACACTCTATAATTATTATAAATATAATAATATAATAGACAAAATAATAAAATTATTTTAACTACAATAATCAACATTAATATATACATATAATGAACAATATAAACATAATAAATATAATAAACAATATAAATATAATACATATAATAAACAAAACAGCATATTTTTAATAAATCTAACAAACAGTACAATTATAATAAACATAATAACTAAACATACATTATACAACCATACAGTTATAATAAACATAAAAAAGGACAGGGAAGCAGCAATAAACCCCCGCAGCAAACGCATGCAAATTCAGATAACATTTCCATGCATGCAGACAAGGCTTCTTCGCTGCTGCCGCAGCAGCAGCAGAAGCAGCAGCTGCAGCAGCAGCAGCAGCAGCAACTGACCTCCAGGGTATCCGCTGCCATAGACAGTTTCCTTCTCTGCTGTTGCTGCTTCTTCTTCACTTCCCTCTTCTGCTGCTGCTGCTGCTGCTGCTGTTTCCGAAGAAGCCGCGTCGCGTTTGGGGCGCCCCGTTCGCTGCTGCTGCTGCTGCTGCAGCTGCTGCTGCTGCAGGAGTTTAAATCTCTTACTGGGCCTCTCAGGCGGAGGCCACGATCGCAGCGCTCTGTCTCGCGTTACTTTTGCAAGAATTGATGCTGCACTAACTACTGGAAACAGAGAATCTGCTTTCTCCCGCACCTGCACATACACCTCAGAGCTGCGTATACACCTCAAATAAACCCTAATGAATTGTGCATTAACCTTAAATAAACTATACGGCGCTGCGGATACACCGCAAATAAACCCCAGCAAGCTGTGTATACACCTCAAATAAACCCTAGTAAGATGCGCATACACCTCACCAAAACCCTTCTATCGAATAGAGGTGCATATACACCTCAGAGAGAATCTGCTTTCTAATAAAGCTGTACTGACCGTTATTTTTAAAGAAGGAAACTGCTGCTGCAGCTTCGCTTGGTAAGACTCCGCCTTGCCTACGGTGTCTACGTACACCTGCAGCAGCAGCAGCAGCAGCAGCAGCAGCAGAAACCAGATTGTCTCACTTGCATGCAAGGCTTTCTTAACACTGCAGTGGGGTGTATGCATGCATGCATGCATGCAAACACTGCATGCATGCATACACCCCACCGCAGTGTACAGGGTGGTGGTAGATGGGGGTTTTGTTATTTGCTGCAGTTATTGCTATTGAATAAAAACAAAAAAAAGCAAAAGAAAGAAAAGCAAAACGGAGACTCTGATTATCTTTACCCTTACCTCGCTCACACAAACCCCCTCCGAACAAACCGCAGCAATTAAACCCGCAGCAGCAGCGTGCGATATCTCGTTCAAACTCACCTTACGCCTGCACACAAACCCTAAACCCTAAACCCTAAACCCTAAAGCTAGTATAAATGGAGTTAATAGATAGGGACGGCTGAAAACGCAGCATCATGAGGAAAGAGTTTTTGCTAGATAAACATGCAACTAGTGCCCGACCCTAAACCCTAAACCCTAAACCCTAAACGCCAAACCCTAAACCCTAAACCCTAAACCCTAAACCCTCAAAAGGCCCTGCAGCATGGAGAGCATCGGACTTGCGCAGCATCTTGGCGCTGATCTCCTGCGGAGAAATCGAATGAATGCGCCACCTGCAGTAATTCAACATAAGCAAAAGGAGACAATTAGAGACAGTTTAGAGACAGTTTAGAGACAGTTAGAGACAGTTTAGAGACAGTTTAGAGATAGTTTAGAGACAGTTCAGAGACAGTTTAGAGACAGTTTAGAGACAGTTTAGAGGTAGTTTAGAGACAGTTAGAGACAGACAGTTAGAGACAGTTAGGGACAGTTTAGAGAAAACTAAGAGATGATTTAGAGACAGTTCAGAGAGAGTTAAGAGAGACTTTAAAATTAATTTAGGTGATAAAGAAAGAACGGTTTAGAGACATTTCAGGGGCCCCTTTGCTTTAGATGATATTATATATTATAATTGTATTTAGTTTATATCTTTACAAACAAAACAACCTCCAGAGACAGAGAAGAAGAGATAAAGATGAGCCCCTCTGTCTGTCTCCATTTAAAAACAAAACAAATAAAACAAATAAACAAACAAAACAAAACAAATAAAACAAATAAAATAAACAAATAAAATAAACAAATAAGCAAAATACGCAGAAACAATTAAGACACAGCAAACAAGATAAAACAAACAAACAAAATAAAACAAACAAAACAAACAAACAAACAAGAAGAGACAAGCAAGGAAGAAAGGAGACAGTGAATACCCAAATGTCTCCTTTTGCTGCATAAACGCAGCAAAGGCCGCCTCCCGCTGTTCTTCAGTAAGTCTCTTCGAGTCTATTAAACAAACATAAAAAGAATAAACAATAAAAAAGCAGCTATTAGCAGCAGCAGCAGCACCAACAACAGCAGCAGCAGCAGCAGCAACAAAAAATGCAATCGAAGACGTTTGTCTGTCGCAGGAGAGAACGATACGAGACATGGAGAAGCAGCAGCAACAGCAGAAAAAGCAGCAGCACCAACAACAGCAGCAGCAGCAGCAATACACCAGCAGCAACAGCAACAGCAACAGCAGCAGCAGCAACAGCAGCAGCAGCAGCAGAGCAGCAAGGAGGCCCTCCTTCTTACCATCTACTTTCATTGCTTTGAGTGTATCTACACCTTCTGCTGTGCAGTAGAAGCACGCATACACCATCGCCCCCAATACGCAGCCTCTCCCCGCCTCATCAATACCTGAGAGACAGTAAGGTGCCTATACACCCTAAATATTTGCAGTGTATAGGCATCTCCAGTTATTGAGATTATTGAGACAGTGCACAGACAAACCCTATTATTAAACAAGCTACATACACCCGGTAGTATAATGAAGTGTATATATATATACACACACACACATATATATATATATATATATATATATATATATATATATATATTATTGAGGTGTACATGCAGCCGGTAGTATGATGAAGTGTTGATATCCCTCACCCAAAATCACATTTTTATTTTCGCATCGATTTAAATTCGACTCGAACTTCGGCTCCAACATCTTCAGCAGCAGCAGCAGCAGCAGCAGCAGCAGCAGCAGCAGCAAGAGCCTCTAACAATGGAGAGGCAGCTTTACACCAGAAGACAGCAGCGGAGAGCGAGTGGGGGGGCCCCCACCCCACAGCAAAAGTAAGAAGTAAGAAGCTGAGAAAGAGGGTACAGTAGGGGGGCCCCTCGTTTAATTGAAGACACAGGACGAAACAAATAACTGCAACAAACTCAGCAGCAAAAACAGCAATTAAAAAAATATTAAGTGCTTAGTTAAAGGCAAAAACAAAGTCTTCATACACAAAACAAAAGAAATATTATATTCATATAATATTCATACCTCAACAATAACAGCAACAACAACCCCACCAAACCCTTACTTATAGGGGGGCCCTAAGGGGCCCCCCTATTGGGGGGCCCCCAGGGGGCCCCCAAGGCTGTTTAGGGACGCGTGTACACCTCGCTGGTTATTTGAACGATGAGTTGTATTAATAATAAAGCATTTAATTTTGTTCATTTTTCTGTTTTTATCTTCACTTGTTTATTAGTACGTCTCAGCTGCAGCAGCAGCAGCAGCTGCTGCAGCTGCTGCAGCTGCTGCTGATCGACCCTGCTGCCCCCGGCAGCACCGAGGGTCATTAGCTGAAGCAGGAAGAGAAATCTGCTCTAGCTGGGATCGATGGGATCGTCTCCCTAGACGATCCCACTCCCTTCTCAGCCCCACACCTTCCCCACTACGTACCCCCCCCC